GCAGGATAGTGCAGTCATATCAGGGCAGGGCGGTGCAGCGGTTTGGCTGTCGGCTCACAGGAAGCCTTTCTGTGTGGAGCTTGCATGTTTTCTCTGCGGCTTCTCGTTGGTTTCCTTCAGGTGCTCCTTCCTCCTCCCACAGTCCAAACACATGCATGTTAGGCGCTTTTTGAGTTTTTTGTTTTAAAATAATGTGTAGGTTTTTATTTTATAGGCTTTTGAGATCATTTTGGAGTCACATTAGAGCTGTTTGGGGGTTTTGGTTGGGGGTGTGAGATTGTGGTTTGACCCCTTTAACACTCATTAGTCTGTAGCCTGCTCTGTGACTGCCACCATGCGCTGATTAAAAACAATCTAAATCTGGTTAATAATTTAACAGTTCTCAGAACTTTAAACCCTGTCATTTCCTTCACGTTGACCTCACTGGCATTGGCTCTGTTTGCTAGTTTCAGTGTCTGCAGCCATACTTCAACCAAACAAACCAAACCTGAAGAAAAATGCAACTTTTATTCCTTCATATTTAAGAAGCCATTACTTCTCATGTTTTCTCATTTCTTCCCTGTTCTTATAACAGGAAGTGTTTTACTGAGGCACCTGTTAACAAGAAAAATAACCAAACCAAAGGAACAGCTGCTGTGGTGACAACGCACTGACAATGCCAGGAAGCTCATCTACCATAGTCATGAAGCTGATATGTCAGCTTTTCTCGCTTTCTTTGTCCCCATTATCTGATTCATTTGTCTCTTAAAGATAAAAACCCAAAGAGATTGTGGGTCTTTTAAATGGTGTCGCAATCAATTTAAATAAATATCTGTGTGTTGCAGATGGAGTTTGCTTGCAGCCATGTTGTTTGCAACTGGAGTCCAGATGGACCAGGTGAGTTTCTTAAAGTGAATCTTTGCCAATGTGACAAATAATGCTCATGCTTGCTATAGTTAGAACCTTTCAAGTACATTAAGCCGGTGAAATGTTGACATCTTTGACCCTGAGTTGCAGAACAGTCTGCGTCTGTTTGTATTAAGTGCCACCAAAAAGGAAGAGAGCGTGCATAACTGCTTAAACCTGTTATAACGAAGGGTTTTTCCTCCAACTACAGGCGTTTTTCCTATGGGGCCCGAGTATGACAACATAGTGCCAGTAAAACAACAAGCAGGTAATTTTCTCACTCATGCACTTGCAAAAAATGTGCACAAGCATGCAGCTCTCATGACGCTGATGGTGATGAACCGTTGCTTTTTTCTGGCCAGAGCGTTGATTAAATTCTCAAGAGCATTGCAGTGAAATAACAGGAAAGCATATTAAGTAGTAATGTGTGTGCGTGCGTGTGTGTGTGTGTGTGGGCATGCTTGCAAATGCAAGACAGACAAAGAGACGAACTGTGTAGGAGATGTAAAGATAGAGGTTCAACAAGGGAAAGTCCACACAGAGAAAAAGATGTCAGATAGCTCTAATTATCAAGATGTTAGAAGAGTGTGACAGTTAATGCTGATAAAACTAAAAAATCTGTCCAAATCAGTCTGGCTCCACCCCCATTGCCAGTAAAATTGAATTTCTCACCAACACAAATCAATTTCAGTGAAATTAATGTAAGAAATAAAGTAAATATTCCACATATCAAGTATTAACAAGTATTAACGCAGATCAAAAAAAAAAAATCAAGATTTGTATTATTTGTTCTGCAGATAGATAGTAAATGGTTGGATAAGCACAACAGAATGGATGGATGGTGACAGATGGCCTGTAGAATTTTTTCTGAGTTCCTCAGGCCTTAAAATGTTGTTGGTTGAAGTTCAATCAGAAAAATCTAACAAAAAGAC